CCTTTCATTCTGGCCAACAGCATTAGCATTTTTAATAAACAAGACTGCTTTTGAGGTGAAGAGATTGAGATTGTACACAGCTTTAGTTTGCTTGGCTCCAGTCAACAGTCTTGGCATCAGCAGCCAGGAAATTAAAAGGCGCATTGCCATGGGAAAGTCTGATGTTAGGGAACTCTCCAAAGTACTGAAGAGCAATGGTGTCTCTCTGGAGACTAAGGTGCATCTGATACAGGCCATGGTCTTCGCAATCACTTGTTACGCATCAGAGAGCTGGACAATGACCAAGGAGGATAGGAGGAGAATTGATACCTTTGAGCTGTGGTGCTGGAAAAAAGTATTGAGAATACCATGGACTGCTAGGAAAACAAACAGACTTGTCCTGGAAAGGGTTAAACCAGGTGGCTCCTTGGAGGCAAGGATTCTGAGGCTCCATCTAACATACTTTGGACATGTTGTGAGGAGAGACTGGTCCTTGGAGAGGGACATCATGCTTGGGAGGGTGGAGGGACAGCACAGGAGAGGAAGGCCCTCTATGAGGTGGATTGATTCAGTGACTGGGATAATTGGGATGGGAGTGTCAGAGACAGTGCGATTGGCACAGGACAGAGCGGAGTTTAGGGCTGTTGTACATAAGGTCGCTATGACTCGCAAGCGACTCGACGGCACGTAACAACATATAGTTCCTCATTGGTGAGTCACAGCTGAAGCCTTGACTGTTTGAAACATTTAAAGCAGCTTATTTTTTTTCCCTTTTAGATAAGAGGAGGGGGAAAAAATCATCAGCCACATAAGAGCACATCTTCTGTTCATTTAGAAATCTGTATCCAAGGTGAAAGAGTTCTCGGTTGGACTCAACATCACTTCCATCCTGATACTCACCTATGCACTTCCCAAAGAAGTTAGTCTTCCCTCCCTGCACATCAAATGGATTTACTCTGAACACCTTGTTAAAACCCAGTTCTAACATTAGTCTGTCTGCCACAAATTCAAAGTTCTATGCCGTTAAGGTACAACTCATCCCAATAAGCTTCACAGGCGAGGCCTCAGGAAGTAACTCCTGCTCCATCCTAACAGCATTAACAATGACTTTTTTCCTTTTGTCTACCAGGTGTTTGAACAGCAGGTGAGCAAAGTCACAGTGTAAGCCTTCATCTCTGCTAGTAAGTTCACTGGAAAATGTGAGGCCAGGCACCAGTTCTCATTTCTTGAGCCAGAATATTGATGCAAAAGAACTGGAGAAGATTCCTTCCACTGCTGCAAAGGCTACGACACTCTCTCCGTAGGTAATTTCTTTGTTCCCAGCCCAACGCAAGGCCCAGTCTGCTGCCTTCTTTACACAGGGCATTGTTTCAATGGCATTGATGAGAAATTCCCATTCCTTAGGATCTTTAATGTGTCAATAAGGAGACTATACATTTCAGAATGTATGTTTTCCATGGCAATTTGGAAGCCATAGAAACAGCGGGCTTCTGTAATCTGGACTTCTTGGCTAAACCGCTCCACCAGGTTTTCATTCACTGTGCCATCACTTGCAGCAAAGAAGGCCAGAACATGGGATATAAAGTAACTCTCCTCAGACTTAAGGGCTTCCCAGTGCTAAATGTCTTTGGAAAGATCAATCTCCTTGGTGTTTCAAAAGGAAGCCTGAGCTTTCTTAGACATCTGCCAAATGTCATGGTATTCAACAGGAAAAACGACAAAGCCGCAGGTGTTCTCTAAGCAATGGTACAATGGTTCATCTTCAGAGCTAGGGGCAGGTACTTTAGTTTTCTCTGGCTCCAGGACACAGGCACCACTGGGGGAGGGGGGGCAGGGGGCGCGCGTTCTCTTTGTCCGCAAAGCTGAGCCCCTTCAGGGGAGAGAGCAGGAGCTGCTGGGGATCAAGGGTAGCAAGCAGAGGGGTAAGCAAAGATGGAAAGCTGGGGCAGAGCAAGAAATAGCACCACTCTTAAAAATCCACAAATCAAGTCACCCTGGCAGTGTTGTCCACAGGGAGAAGTGCTACTAACCCCAAGGCTACAGCTTCTGTGTTGGTTTGAATCCACCAGCAACTCTAAGGGAGAAATCTCATGTGTAATCCAAGACCTTTAAAAATCTGCTGGAGGGTCAGTTATGGTTTGGTTGGGTGACAATATATGGAAACATAAGATGCTCCAGAAACTCCATCTGTGCTTGCTTCCTGAAAATTATCAAGGTGTGCTGTGCCCTGGTAACTTACTAATTACCACTTACTACTGGGAGTGAAGACTGTATATGGAATGATCGTTCAAGACTAGAAAGAGACATGTTTAAATCAGGAGAGGAAGAGTCTGATGGATAACTAAAAAATGAGTGTTTAAAAAACTAGGAACTATTAAAAACCTCTTATGGCATATACTGTAAGCATCTTAAAAATGTATACCTTCCTACAGGCAGTATACTATTAGATTACTTCAGTAGACAGAAAATTTAAACATATTAGCTTCAGGACTATTTTTGGCAGTGAACTTCTACAGTATAGTAGTATTCTGCTAAGCCATCTAGATGTTTCCAGTTCTGTGCTGGCACTTACCATTTTATCTGTATTTCAGTGAGAAAAACAACCCTCTTCGTGTTTCCCCTATTTTAAAAAGTTAAGTACTAGAAATACAAATTTTAAAAAAGCAGTAGAGTCAGATGTTTCAAAAATGGTAGAGTGATGACAACTTCCCTTTCATCCTTCAGTTCACCTGTCTTCCCTGAAAGTGAAGACTTTTCTTTCTAGGGACACTCTACCAAACAAATATGGAAACATAAGAAAAATGGTAGCATAACTATTTTATGTCTTTCCGCCTCTCTGTTCAATGTCAAGCTTCCCATTTAAGAATTCAGGAAATTTTTAATTTGACCAATTATTACAATGGCCTTGTCTTTCACTTACTCTTGAAGACCAACTCTCATTTTCTGTTTATAAAAATCACATAAAACACTAACTATAATTGCTGTTACTAGACCCAGAAGCAAGATCTCACATTATCCCCTTCTATTCTTATCATTGTTGTTATGGGCCATTTGCGACTCAAAGCGACCTCATGTACAAACAGCCCTGAAACCCACTCCGCTTCCCCTCCCCCCCTTGTTGTGTACCTTCAAATCGGATATGACTGGCACAGGAGGAGATAGCCCCTCCTTCTCCAGCAGAGCATCTGGTGGATTTGAAACATGCACCTTTGGGACTGCAGTAAACCCTTCATTTTTGAGCCAACCTCACTGTCTGACTAGGTGGATTTTATTATTTTGTGGATTTTTCTGGATTTTGATTCTGCTAATAAAATACCTGATGAACACAACATAAAAATGCGTAACAAAAAAGCATGAACAAAACACATCGTTTTTATATTATTGAACTTTATGTACAAAATCATTTGATTTCAAATAAACATTTAATGTAAAAACAAACGTTCTTTTAAACTGAATTTTTTTTACACCTATTGTACCATTCAAATGTTTTATCATCTTACATGATTTCTTCAAAATCTCTTACCAAGGGTACATATAGAAAAGCTTTTCTTTTTATAAATAGAAACAAAGGGATTTTTTTCAGCTTTTATTATAAGATGACATAAAAAGTTTACTCAACAAAAGTAATTTCATTACTATTTGGGGGAGGGAATCACCAACTTTTTGTGCAAACAATGCTAGCCTTCTTTTTAAGCATTAAGAGCATAACTGCTTAAGAAATGACATAAGCAATAATCCTACACCTACGTCGCCCTAAAATAATCTATTTTTTTTTACAATATGTGCACAGCTTTAGCAAATTAAAGCCTGAAAGAAATGCTTGAGATCCACTATCCAGAGGCATAATTAGAATTTACTCATCATTTGTAGAGCTCACCAAATCAAGGAGTCTGTTGAAAGCTGCAGTTTCCCTCTTCCCTATTTTTAACACAAAAATCAATGACTAGAAACTTAATACTGGATGACAAATCACATCCACATTATTAGTTAAATAGTCTCACAGTTAAACACATCTTAAAGACCAATCAGTATTTACATTTTATAAATTTCTGAAGACACCATTAGAAAGCTTATATATCCCTTCATTAAACAAAATAGGGAACCTGCATCTGATGGTGGTGGAATGAAATTAAAAAAGTAAAATACCTGTATTTACAGCAGCATTGATCCTTTATAAATAAAGAATATGAAAATGCAATCTCTTTAAGGATAATAAAAAATTGAGGTGATGTTACTCAACCACAGTGCTTAGAGTTGGAATAAAAACGTATTGGTGCTTGTTAATGTGCCAGTAGTGAAACCACTTTCTGTTGGAGAAAATCCAACTGTAAATATGTGCATAAAACACATATAACACAGGGCAAAGTTGCTCAAAACAATTCAAGTCAGCTTCTCTGTACTGGATATTCTAATCATGAAATACATTACAAAGACATCCTTGAAAATAAAAACACAAAAAACAAAAACCCCAAAAGCAAGCAAACAAAAAAAAAAAGGGGAGGGCACAAAAAATTTTCTGGTTTATTTTTATAAAATATTTTAATATTTCCCCCTTGAAAGTGGTATATTAAAAAATCTCCAACTTATCCTTCTCTTGGTTTACAATCCTAATGAAAAGATGTGGGCAGCGGAAATTTTCCATGTGATTATCTAATTGAAAAAGAAAAACCAGAAACAGAAAAATGTTCAAGTTTAAAAGAATATACTGGGTGAGCAATATACTAAAATTATCCACATAAAAACAAATGGTCAGTAACTATATAAACCAATATGGCATTTCACTGTCAAAAAATGTGAAAAATAAACATCTCAAACAGGCATAAGATGAAGAAGTGCTATTTTAAAATTGTAAAATGAACATATTTAATGTAAAATAATTGTATGTTATAATTTTTCACTCTAAATTGTTAAATGATTTCAAAAGCAAGGATCATGGTTTGATTGCAATAATAATCCAATATAACTTCACAAAAATTTCAAATTTTTTAAAAAAGGGAATTGCATCCCAATTTTCCTTCAGCAAGAAAATATCTCACAATTATAAAGTAGAAAAGCAGCCAGTCACAAATGCAAAGACCATTATAATTTAAGTATAAGAAATAATTTCTAGACAATCGATTCAGTATATTTCATAAGACAGCTGTTGAAATTTTTTAAAAAACAACTTTCTTTGAAGTATTGCTTTCCATGCTCAAACTAGAGAATGTCGTAAAGATGTCAATAAAACTGATAAACATGTAATGCTTGCATAATAAAGTGAACAAGAACCCTGATAGAAATATCCTTGTTGAAATCATTTACTTCATCTAACATTGCCTGTTTGGAATCTATGACTTAAAACAAAACAAAAAATACTCTTTTCCTAGAGGATGAATTCTCTAGAATGTGATTTCAGTGTTTGTCCATAAGAAGGGGTCAGGTCTTTTCAGAGTTTTTGTTTTTTGCTCTGTTTTGAAACCCCTGAGACACCATCTGTTTCCAAAGCTTTCTCTTTTGAGTTAATTTCACTAAAACCATTTGCTGTCCCATTTTGTTCTTCAGCTATTTCTTCATTTGCAGGGGAAGCAGATTCTCCTTTTTCTAATTTTTGCTGCATTTCACGAAGCTTGGTAACAGCTTTATCTATTGACATTATGCTAATAAGATTAAAGTCATGCATGCTGACTAGATGAAGCATGAAGTTTCGACATAAATTCTTCTTAATTATTTTCTGTCCATAATTTTCTACAAACAGCATACAGGCATGATTCATTTGATTGTCAGCAATAAACCTAATTAAAAAAAACACAGATAAATATCAACCGTGATATAAGACATTTTTGTTAAATGGAATAGTGATAATCATTACATAAAGAACAGTAAGACTATCTAAATCTGTGAAGTAAAGATTGAATTAAGTAGCAAAATTACAGTGAAACTAGGATTCTAACTGGGATTCTATTCATGTGAATGAGTTTCCCATTTTAAAAATTTAAAGAGATGAACTCTAATCAGAGCTTAGTCAGATTCCATTAGAATGCTGTTACTGGGTACCAATGAGTCAATTCAGATTCTTTGTGATCCCATGTGACAAAAGGAAAACTGCTTGATCATGTATTTTAGTGCATAATCTTACAGAAGCAGACTGCCCACTCTTTCTCAGAGCTGCTGGGTGAATCTGAACCAAATGTTTCTATAGTACCACCAGGACTCTGTCATTAGAATACATATACCATGGATGTCAAATCAGAACTGAAATACACTGACCCTACAGTGGATATTTGTTGACAGGCTCTAAATTAAATGAAAAGATTATCCAACTTTCTCTCTTCCAATAGAATTATTGTTGTATACTGAGCTGGAATTGACTCATAGCTGACTCTCCAGTGGATTTTCAAACAGGATGAGAATGCCCATCTGTCTCCCATCAAACACTTAGTGGATCTCAACTGTGTGCCTCTGGATGGGGAGCACAGTTCCTTATCATTAAGCCACCAGAACCTGTTTCCCATTAGAACAGTAGATATAATCTATTTTTCCTAATGAGATAATAGGGAGGGAGTTCTGATGGTATAGACTGTAAGATGCTGCACTGTAACCCATCTATGGGACTTCTCTGACAGTATGAATTCACCAGTGCCGTCAATGCAGAAAAACAGGCAATTTCCTGCTTCCAAAAATCTGCTGGCAGCTGTGAGTTGGTTCTGCCTTGAAGACACTTCTGTGTGTGTATGTGTGTGAGAGAAAATGAACGCTATTATAATTAGACTCTGTGTGTGTGTATGCATGTGTGAGTAAGAAAATGAACTAGATTATAAATAGCAATCTTAAAATTGTATTTTGTCACTACCACCACTTACATTAATACTATATATACACACTATTCCATTATAGTTTCTCCCTTGATCTTGCCATACTTTTCTATTAAAGTAGCAGTTCTCTTCATATTTGATTCATAGCAAACATCTGAGAAAATAAAGTACACTAAGTGATTACATAGTGTGTCCATGCTAGTGGAAAACAAACAGGAGGAAGGGTGAGGTGCATGAACAATAGGCAAACTTTGAGGATGAACTGAAACCAAACAGCACTGTGACTTCCAAGTTACCACAGAAATCTATTGTCCAACATAGACTTCAAGGCCTACCTGTATATCTAATGGAAACCTAATTAGTTTACCTGTTTCTATCACTACATAATAGACCCCATTAGTTGCTGTACAACAAATTCAGACCAAGGAACAAAAACAGAACTCAATATGGTAATCTGACCAAACTGAAATGGGCACAGCTGCCTAACATGAAAAATCCAGGGCTCATGTTCACTTGCACTCCCCCTTCACCATTAATATATTTCACTCCTGAATTTTGATAGAGGTTAGGCAAACTTTTTCTAAAAAGGGTCAGACAGTAAATATTTTATGGTGTATAACAATCTGGAACAAGGAGTGCACAGTGGAGAGGTGTGGAAGAAAATGTTTAACAATTAAAAAAAAAAGTAAAGAAAGACTCCTTCCTATTTACCTCACATAAAAAATTTTGCCTATCTGTCTTATAGAAGAAAACCTGAAGTTCTAAATAAAGAGGGAGATAGGAGAAAAATAAATGTAATAATGGGTAAAAGTATATGCTGAGAATAAGCCATAAAATTATGATACTGGAACTTTGAAACTAACAAATGAGAAAGGCCATTTAAATTATTTAAATTTATACCTGATTAAGTAATTAAAAAAACTTATGACAGTAACAATAATGGAATAATTTTCAAGATTTCCAGGCATGCAGTCTAAGTATCAACTCAGTTCCAGGGGGAAAAAAAAACCCCAAAACAATGCAGTTAAAAATATGAACATACACATGTGCATTTTATCTACTTTTCCTCTTGTCCTGATACGCTAGTTTCAATACAAAACAGTAATTTAGTATCTCTTGGCAATAAATGGAAATAAAACTAAGTAATTAACAAAGGTATTTTAGGATTGCAGCACAATTTCTTATCACTAGGCCACTGGAGCATTATTTTGCCTTACATCATGAAATCACACAAATAAAAATGTCAAATGCTATTCATTAATGATTAATGATTTTAACACTAGAAAAAAAACCCCAAATCCAAACCAAAAAAACAAAGAACCCAAAAACCTTAAGTCTATTTTAGAGAAATAAAACTCATAATCAGCTGTTAGATGGAATGATATATGTTCACTTTTTTAAAATGCAGTTACACTTTAGGATTAAGACTGGAGCTCTGGTAGTACGCTATGCTGCTGCTAAGTAACATGGAGGTGGTTTTAATTCATCAGTCATGCTAAGGAGAAAGACAGGGAGTCTCCTTCCATGAAGATTTAGAGCCTAGAAAATCAGGTGGAGGGACACAAGTTGGAATCAACTTGACATTTAGGGTAAGATTAGGAACATAAGTTTAAATTAATGAATTTTTAATAGGATTCCAACACAGATTTCTAGAATGTGGAGCATCAAGAATATAAAGGTAAATAGAATATTTAAATTAAATTAGCAATAACCTACCCATGCTTCATAACATGGAGATTCCATAATTTCATTACTTCTTTCTCTCCTTCATTAACATCTGAAAATTCTTCAATTTGCTAAGAGAGGGAGGGGAAAGCTCTATTAAATGCAAAATTATGATACTATTAAAAATGCTTTTCATGCTTAACACTGCTGTTATAAAACAGGACAGACGGGTGGGGAAAGAATGGATAAGTTAGGTGAAGATAAAGGCAATACACTATAATGAACTGATCAGACATATATAATCAATGATAATTAACATTAAAAAATGCTTTGTAACAAAAAATATAACTTCTTTAAATAAAACACATCTCTTCTTTTTTGGGGCAAGAAAAGGAGACACTAAAAGCTGAGTGAACTGAGCTCCTCTTCCAGAGAGCTTTGAAGATGAAGCTGAATCCCAAGCTGAGATATCCTCCTGAAGAATTAATACCTTAGTCAATGTATGACCAGTCCCATGTTATATTGTCTTTTCCCTCAAGTGTATCTATTTTCTTTTTTACTTCCCTTTCTGTATCCATTCCTGGTAACTATCCAAGAAAGACTGTCAATGTATAAACCTTTCCATAGCTTTTTTAAAAATTTTTTTTAATTTTTTTGTTTTAATAATTTTAATGAACATTTACAGAGATTCTGATTTCCATTCATTCATTGCTGTACTTCTCTCCCCGCCTAGCCCTTTTTCCATAGTTTTTTATAACAGTAGCTTTATATCGTAATAGAACTTCTGTGACTGATTTGTCACTCAATCTTGTTTGCTCTAGATTTATCAAGGTTATTCAGTGTTTCACAAAATCTTTACCATTCTTGAGTGTTGCAGAATACTCCATTTCGCAAGTGTATACATAGTTCCTTTAACCATTTTTCCATTACAAGACATTGGTTATTTCTAAATTCTTGCTACTGTAAATAATGTTGTAATAAACACTGGTGTATATGAGCTTTCTTCCTTTGAAATATATATCCAATATATATCCAAGACTGCAACATACTCCTCTATTAGTGAGACTGCAGGATCAAATGGTCTTTCTCTTCTCAAAGTTCACAGGATGTGCCAAACTGCTTTTCCATTTTACCATTTCTTCCAGCAGTGTACATGAGTTCTAATTTCTCCATGTAAACATTTGCTATTTGATATCTTGTTAAACTCTGCTATTGTTTCAAGGATGACATGAGATCTCTTTGGTTTGAATTACATCTCTAATATAGCTAATAGCAGCAGTGACAATGGGCTTGAGCAGGGCGGCATTAGTAGTGATGGGAAGAATAAGGTACAGTCCTGACCTGTTGTTCATAAAGTCATTATGAGTCCTGGTCAACTTGACACCTAGTAACATCAACATGATCTTGAACATTTTTTTTTTCTGTGTGTGTGGTGTCCATCTAAACATCTGCTTTGGTGAAGTGTCTTCTTATGTCCTCTGCCCATTTTTTAACTGGGCTATCTTTTTCTTGTAGAATTATTTCTATAAATTTTGGAAATTTGTGCCTCCTCAGATATATCATTGCCAAGGTCTGTTTTCTCAGTCTGTAGGTTCTTTTTTTGCTGCACATTAAGGATTTCATTTTTAAGAAGTTTCAGTCATCTAGTTACCTAATTTATCCCCTGAAAACTGTGCATTTTCAGTTATATTTGAAAGTCTCTTTACACTATCAATTAAAGTTTCAAAATTTGCACAATTTTTTTCTTTGCTGACATTCTTTCAACTTCCTGGAAATAGACGTTTTCATCAGTATCATTTGTTAAAGAGGGTGTCTTTTCTCCATCTAGTAGATTTCACTTATTGGTCAGTTTACCATACTGTGGTGGCTTGCTTCTTTGCTGTGAAGCTCTAAGCTATCCTACATACCCACTCATGGTGGACAGGTTTCCTCAAAACTTTCAGACTATGTACAGACAAGGATTTTTCTGTAATTTTCCAGACTGGCCATTCACTCCTGAAATAACTTGCCTTTGAAAAACCTATGATTAGGACTGGAACATTAGTTATAATGCTGTAAGATGAGCCCCTTAGGTTGGAATGCACTCAAAATGCAACTGTGGGAGAGTGGCCTTTCTCAAAGTAGAGTCTATATTAATGACATGGATGAATAAAACTTTTTGCAAATGAAGAAATTTCATTTGTTGATGTGAAAAGACTCAAGATAAGGAGGAACAGTTGCAAACAGTAATTACTGGAAAATGGAATATATGAATTTAGGAAATTTTGAAGTTGTAAAAAATGAAATGGAACTTTTAAAAGATCAATATCCTGGAACTAATGATTTGAGATGGACAGGTATTGCCACTTTGAATCAAACAATCTTATGATTTGCTGTGTCAGGAATAACAGAGAGGCATGTCACATTCATCTTCAAAATGGATACTTTAAGATTTTCTCTGAAGTAAAATACTGTCAGTGATGGAATGTCCATACAGACACATTCATATGGTGATTATTTAAATATATCTAGATATCATTAAAAGCAGAGGAGAAACAGGATTTTTACTGGCTTCTGCAGTCTAAATACACAGAACATTAATCAAGATGCATTACTAAATAGTGACTGGAATGCCAAAGTAGGAAATAAAGAAGAGCTGGCAAATGGAAAATATAGCCTGGGTGATAGAAGTGAAGCTGGAATTTTGTTCTTGTTATGTGCCATTGAGTTCCTTGCGACTCACAGTGACTCTATGTACAAGAGCCCTGAAACCTGCTCTATCCTGTGCCAATCTTAATGTCTCTGACACACCTACCCCATTACCCCAGTCACTGTCTCAATCTACCTCATCAAGGGTCTTCCTTTCTTGCACTGTTCCTCCACCATTCCAAGCATGATGTTCCTCTCCAAGGATGGGTTGGGTCCTTCTTTTTTTTTTTATGTCAGATGGGTAATGTGCCTCCGTCGTAACAAGGTTAGTAGGTGGCACATATCATACAGACGTATGAACTCCCGATCATCATGTGTATGAACCGGAAAAGGATCTAGGGTTGGGTCCTTCTTGCAACATGCCCAAGTATGTCAGATGGAACTTCAGAATCCTCGCCTTCAAGGAGCAGCCTAGTTTCACCCTGTCCCAGACACATCTCTTTGTTCTCTTAGTAGTCCACTGTATATTCAATACTCTTCTTGAGCATCACAGGTCAAAAGCATCAATTCTCTATCAATTATCCCTAGTCACTGTTCTGCTTTCTGACGCATAGAAGACTATGGCCTGGATCAGGCGTACCTTGGGTCTCCAGACTGACGTCACTGCTTTTCAGTACTCTGGCGAGGTCCCTGAAAGCAGACTTTCCCAATGCATTAGTCTTTTGATTTCTTGGCTACTGGTACCAAGAGTGTCGATTGTGGATGATCAATTATTTATTCATTGCAAATGTTGTTGTGTTTACATGCCATAAAGTTGCCTATGACTCATAGCGACCCTATGTACAATAGCTCTGAACCCTCACCTGTCCTGAGTCAGTCTTACTGATTTTGATACACCTATCCCTGTTGCCAAAGTTACTGTATTAATCCATCTCATGTGGGGTCTTCCTCTCCTGAACTGTCCCTCCACCTTTCTGAGCATTATATCCTTCTCCAAGGATCAGTCCCTCCTGGCCACATGCCCAAAGTGTGTGAGATGGAGTCTCCAAGGAGGAACTTGGTTTCACTTTTTCCAAGACAAGACCTATCTGTTTCCTTGGCAGCTCATAGTATGTTCAAGACTTTTCTCCAGTACCACAATTCAAAAGCATCAATTCTTCTACCCTCTTTCGTCATTATCGAGCTCTCTGATGCATAGTAAGTAACTGCAAAAACAATGGATTGGATCAGGTGCACCTTTGCATTGCATACCTTTAGCAAAAAATAAAATGGCAACTCTACACATGGACCTCACTTGAATTAGAGGAATCAGATTGGTCAAAACCATGGGCAGGAGAAGCACTCAAAACAAAAACAAGAGCCAAATGCAGAACAAACCATTATGTATGTGAATTCAAAGTGAAGATGAGGAAAAAAGAAAACAACTCCACAAGAGCCAAAATAACAACTTTTGAGTATACCTGAGTTTAAAAATCATCTCAATAATAGATTGATGCACTGAACATTAATGACCAAAGACCAGATTAAGTTGTGGGATGCTATCAAGCACATCCATGAAGAAAGCAAGAGGTCATTAAAAATACAGGAAGGAAAAAGACCAAAATGGATGTTGGAAGAGACTCTGAAACTTGCACCTGAAGAACTGAGGAGCTAGTCCAAGTGCTGAGTTTCAACACTGAAAGGTAAAACGGTAAATAAGCATCTATAGAAGAAGAAAGGAACATATAATGTCATCATATCAAAAAGAACTGGGGAATGGGGGACTATTTTAGGAAGGAGCACAAGATAAAGAAGCAACGGAACTGTTCTCTTCTGCTAGCATGTTTAATGTGGCCCTCTGTCTTCACTATATCTTCTCATAAGACTTTCAGGATCAAGAAGTTTCTGGCTAAGAAGCAAAAGCAGAACTACCCCATTCCTCAATTATTAAAATGGAAACTTGCAATAAAATCAAGCACAACGCCAAGAGTTGATCATGGAGAAGTAGTAAGCTCAGTCTCTAAGGTGTCCCACACATGTTGGCACATAATGAACCTAGGTTCATGAGCACTGTTCCATGTCCAGTAGACTGATATGCTACTTTATCAAGTTTAAAATTATGTTACAATTTGGTCACTTCCCATAAAACGCTTATTTTTAGGCCCCCATATTTGTGAGGCTTATGGTATGTTAAAAAAAAAACCCCAACAAACCCCAATGGTACTGAAGAGAGTAGTTCAAGCCAAACTGAAGACACTGGCAAAATAAGATGACCCCAGGAACTGATTGAAAAATAACAGAAGAGTTTCAGTGAAAAGATGCACCCTTGTATATGCCTGTTAAAGGCAATTACCTAGCCAATCAACTAGAAGAGATGCTTATTTGTTCCCATTCCAAAAAGAGCTATGCAGGGAATGGGGAGATTATAAAACAATATTGTTAATATTACATGCAAGTAAAATCTTGCTGAAAATTATAGAAAAACAGTTGGAGTGGTACATAGAAAGGGTTTTAACAGAAATTGAAGCCATATTCAGAACTCATGCAATATAGCACTGCTGGTGTAAACTGATTTTAGTTATTAGTAGAGAATGCCAAAAAGATGTTTATTTGTGTTTTACTATTATAAACATATGAACTATGTGGATTATAAAAAATTTTAGGTAACATTGAGAAAATGGGAGTTCTAAAATACTTGTGTATATATAAAACCTGCACATAAACCAAGAAAAATATTTTATTTTTTAAAAATTTTTTATTATATTATTTTTCTGTGAGCGTACCGTCAAATCAGATCTGACTGGTACAGGAGGAGATTGTCCCTCCTTCCCCGGCAGAGCATCTGGTGGATTTGAACCATGCGCCTCTGGGACTGTAGTTTCAGTTCCTTGCCACTAGGCCATCAGAGCTCCCCCCAAAAAATAATTTTTAAAAAAAAATATTCAGTAGAATAAAATAAATATTCAGGCATAAATGCAAAAAAATAATTTTAACAGAACAAAGCGATCTGGCATTGTTTTAAATCATAAAAGTTGTGCATTAGGGTTGGATCCCTTCCACATATCTAATTAATTTATATAATGAACAAATAATATGAGAGGATAAACTACCTAAACAATGTGACATCAGGATTGGAGGAAGACTTCATCAACAACCTGTGTTTTGCCCATGACACAACTCTGCTTGCAGAAAGTGAAGACTTAAAGTACTTAATACAATCAAAGACTACAACTTTCAATATGGGTTATATGTTAACATTAAAAAAACATATTAACATCAAGATAACAAAATTCCTCTCTTCTGTACCAAGGGGTAACATATGATAGATGGTGAAAGACTAAAGTTGTCAATGATTTCACTTTACTTAGGCCCATACTTATGGTAGGTACAGCAGTCAAAAATCAAGAGACATGCTATGCTGCATTGGGGCAATCTATAGTCAAACACCTGTTCAAGAGTTCGAAAGAAATCTGTTTAAAGACTAGTTATGTCTAAGTTCAAGTTATGGCTTTTTCAGTTGTTTCCTATGCCTCTGAAAGCTGGACTATGAATAAGGATGAAATAAGAACTACTTTCTTTGAATTGCAGTACTGAATATATACCATGGACTATTAAAAGAACAAAGAAAGACTTCTTGGAGGAAGTCAAACCAGTGTACTCCATGGAGGGAAGAATGGTGACATTTTATCCTGAAATGTGCAACAATGGATGAATAAAATCCAATGTTTCTGTAAACTTTCATTAAAATCACAATAATATAAAGTATATTTAAAAAAAATGTATCCTGTATATTTAGATCATACTAGGAAGTGGCAATCCTTAATACAAGAGAAGACAAAGCTCAAGGAGATGGACTGACATAGTAACTGCAATAGTAGATTTAAGCATGGTAGAGACTGAGAAGATGGTGTGCAATAAGGCAAGGTCTCTATCTGTTAATACGACCTCCATGATTTGGAGCTGATCTGAGGGCAACAAACAGGACTGGTTCTGTTGTGATTCCACACATCTGAATTCTTAGGCATTTTTTGCATCTTTTCCTTTTCTTGGGTCAGATTTACCAGTAGCTTGTTGAGTTTATTAATGCTTTCAAAGTAGTAATTTTTAGTCTTATTGATTCTATGATTTTTGTTTTACTTATTTTTGTTCTTTATTATTTGTCTGCTAGAAGGGCAAGGTTTGTCAAAATCAATCTATTTTTAATTATGAAATGATGCCTTATAAATATATTTATGTGCCCATACAGAAGGTCCATTCAGGCAATATTCCAACCACTAAATGTTTCAACTCTACTGTAAAGACTATTATGTTGTTGTTGTTATGTGCCGTCGAGTTGCTTGTGACTCATAGCAACCCTAGATACAACAGCCCTAAACTCTGCTCTGTCCTGTGCCAACCGCACTGCCTCTGACACACCCATCCCAATTACCCCAGTCACTGAATCAATCCACCTCATAGAGGGCCTTCCCCTCCTGCGCTGTCCCTCCACCCTACCAAGAACAATGTTCCTCTTCAAGGACTGGTCCCTCCTTATAACATGTCCAAAGTATGTTAGATGGAGCTTCAGAAAAAAAGGTGCATACAAGGCTTTACAAAGAGGAATAGTGTCATTTTCCAAGATGGTCATCACTATACTATTATTACTACATTAGCATGTTATGTTAAAAAAGGATTTAGTTTATCTTTAATGTTTTATATGCAAAGCAACATAAACTATATATTTTTTTGAGATTATGATTACTTTTTGTTTGTTTTCATACACATAACATTACATATTAAAACAAACATCTGACTGACTTGTTAGATAGCAGCTGTATCTAACAGGCCCAATGAACATACAATGTATCCTTAAAAAAAGTTAACAGGGTGGGGGAAAGGAAGTCTTCAGAGATGGAATATGTCCACAATTCATGTTTCTCTATATAGACGATTGTGTTCACACAACATCCAAAGCATTCATGTCCTACTTCCCCGAATATACTTGAAATGTCAAACAATGAATAACTATACATAGGCAAATACTCAATACTTAGTCATATGAAGAAAATGTCTCTCTCCCTTAGTTGGTAACCTTTAACACAGCAAAATTATATGTAAATTCTAGAATTCCTTAATTTAACAAAAACTACTTGAAGTTAAAAATTTAACTTCATACTAAACGGCTATTAGTTTTCAATAAAATTAATCATAAAATTATAATTAATTTTAATCACTGCTAATTATGATAATGATAATAATAATAATAATTACTGTAATTGTTTTCTCTCTTAGCCATTCGGGATCTTTCTCATCTTCACTATCTACTTCCATTTCTTGTGGTCGAAGAGGTAAGCAGGTGTCACTATGGAAATATAAACGATTATGTCCACTACTGTATGTCCGTTGCTGTTCTACTTCTCCATCTTCAGACTCAAGAAATTCTGACATGCTTGCCTTTGTTCGTTTTGGCCTAAGGAAAGAATAAATATTGCTTTAATACTGTTGCGAGCATAATAAATTTTATAAGATTACCATTTTATAAAACTGACCAGACCCCTAAATTAAATGATAATAAATTTTTTTAAATGTACATGTGAAGCACACTACTATATACCAATTTAGGCACTAAACCATTAATGATGAACTTAGATTTGTGGGTTTTAAAGACAAACTTAGAAAAAGAGAAACAAGGTTAAAAAGAAGGGCTAGTTAAGTCACAGAAAGCTTAAGACAGGAATATGTGGATATATTTTTTTAAAAAGTCTCAACACATTTAAGTGTTTAAGCATAAATCATTCTCTTTCACTTTACTGTGTTCACAGATAATGTTTGACTGGTTTTTTTTGTATTGTTCTAAAAAATTGAAAGTACATGGCAATCCTGAGTCAAGCATATTCTTTCAACTGCATGCAAGCCTCTGTGTTACATTCTGGTAATTCTCAAAATTTCAAATATTTTCACTATGCTATGACATACTTTATAGTACAATCATAACTTTTATATGCAACAAGAAACCAGGTGACTTGTCTTCTGGCACTGGTCTGGAATCAAACCCTCAAGACTTCTGCAGCATATGTATATTCACAAAATAGATAAACCCCAACACTACTATATACACATAGCTATTCAGAAAGTTTTAAAAAATTCCTCTTTGTAACTTTAATCTCAGCAGTTAACCAGATGTCATGAAAGGGTAATGAAAGAAAATGCAGAGTGTTATGTAATAGCCACAGATTTCCATATAATTCATACCACTAAAGTAGAGGTCATTTGCAGGTTCCTACCTACGTATATGTATAAGAAGGATCACAGAGAAAAGTCTTTACTCTCCTAAGCAAGTTCCACATCAATGGTATTTAAAAAAAAAAGCTCTTAAGGAGGATTTAGAAAGCCCCTTTGGAAAGAAATGCTCAGGAAGGTTAAAAAAAAATCATCTCCAGATATTTAGCTAACAATGAAATAATGCTGCAGTTGATTTCCACCTAAAAAAATGGAGATGTCTGTCTGACTGCCTTCTGGGTTCCTCCAAAATAACAATAGAGTAAAAGACTGAACTTGTATGGTCTTTTCACCCACCTGCATACAAGTATGTGTGTGATAGGAGTTCTCTTTACTGGTCCGTTTCGACTAAAGGCAAATCCAGGTTGACGGTGAATATCCTGAGGATTTCCTGCATAGGAGCCATCATAACACTCATTGATAGAAACATCTATCCTAGCACCTTTAGGATGATACTGTAACAAAAATTGTAAGATGTTTAGGAAAAGGAAAAAAAAAATTATCCTACTCTAAATACAAGGGAGAAGGATGGTGAATCTTCTGTGTTAGTTACAATCTCTGAAAACCCACTGGATAACTAGCATAAAACAACAACCTTAAATAACCATTCTCAAACTTAGATAATTAAAAAAGTATTAGTGGGTTCTTTATTTAAAGCCTGCCAGGCACATCAGCAAAGAGAACAGAAAGTTAGAGACCTAGAATCAAAAGACTTATTAGAAATCATGTCTATGCCATTTGTTACTTTAGTGACTCTACATAAATTATTCCTAAGAATGAACTTCAAATTAAAATATAATTTAAATTAAAAAAATTATGAGAATGAACTGATACACTTATGTAGTATATAAGTGTTAATTATTATTTAAAATTAAACATTTATTATAATCCCTGTTATCAGACAAATTTCTAAAGAACTTTGGTACTTCCCCCTCTAAAGGATAAAGTCAGGTTGTCTTAAAAATAAAGTGAATAAGGTGAAGCTACTCACAACATAATTGAAAATAAATCTACTATGACAGAGTTTAAGATGCTTGAGTAAACTATAAAGTTTGCGGCAGTTCAGAGTACACCACGGGCAATGTAGGTCATCCCTTGCTTCGGTCTGTTGTCTTGTATTGTTGTTATACAGAAACTGGGGAAAAAAAAAAAAAGGAAAAAAACCAACAACAAAAAAGTCAGATTACGCTCAACTTTCACATCTCTAAATATGTTTCAATCTCATCTCTAAAAAAGTAATTTAAAAGGAAAATAAATTCAGGAAATATTTTTAGATATGATATGTAAAAATACTTCATATTTCAAGGGAGCTCTGGTGGCCTAGTGGCAAAGAAGCTGCACTGCAATCCTGGAGACACACAGTTTGAATCCACAAGATGCTTTCCTAGAGGAGGGACAATCTCCTCCTGTACCAGTCAGATCTGATTCGATGGTACACATGCAAAAAAATAATAAACTTAAAAAAACCCGAAAAACCAAAACAAACCTAAACCCCAACAAATAAAACCCCCTTCCTCTTTCACATGTAAACAAACATATTTCATGACTGCTTTAAAAAGAAGAGCTAGATATGCTTACCTGATAAAATATTCTTAATTTCTGTCGGTTTTCATTTGATGTATCTTTTTCTTTTCTTGTTTGTAGTTCTGTAGTCAGTGATTCTTTAACAGCTGAAAATACATGCCTTTATATTAATAAGGTACTACTATAGTTAAAAAAATTTTTAAAAAATTGTGATATATTTCTTGATAAAAACTTAGGGCACTCTGGTGGTCTAGTGGTAAGAAAATGTGCTATAATCCCAAAGGCAGACAGTTTGAATCCACTAAGGAGAGGTAATTTCCTGCCTGTGAAAACCCAGTAGAGGATCAGCTATGAGCTGATTCTGACTCAAGAGCACACAACTACAACAATGTTAACATCCGTTAAATAATTTAATTTGTTAATATTTGTGAAATAATTAAATGTTAAATTATTAGAAGAGTCACAGAATTCAGACTGGTTTGGTTTTTTCAAAAATTTTATTATTTTTTGCGTGTGTACTATCACATCGGATCTGACTGGTACAAAAGGAGATTGCCCCGCCTTCTCCAGTAGAGCATCTGGTGGATTCAAACCACGTACCTCTGGGATTGCAGTGCAGTCACTCCTAAAACTGTGTTTTTTAAACACTATTACTGTTCTCACCTGAAAGACTACCAATGGTAAAAGATTTTATAAACATGTTATAAATTCCCCTAATTATATGTTAATGTTTTATTGACAGGACATTTTTTCTTTTCTTTAGAAACCATGTGCTTTGTCTAATCCATTATACAGGCAAAATTACATGTGGTTATCAATATGAAGAAGTTTTGATGCCCATGGACTGCTAGGATAACAAACAGGATCATCCCAGAGAGAGTGAAACCAGGTTGCTCCTTCAAGGCAAGGATTCTGAAGCTTCGTCTGACATACTTTGGGCATGTGGCAAGAAGGGACCAGTCCTTGGAGAGGGGCATCCTGCTTGGAATGGTGGAGGGACAGTGCAAGAGGAAGATGCTGGGTGAGATGGACTGACTCAGTGACTGGGAATGAGGGTAGATGTGTCAGAGACAGAACAATTGGCACAGGATAGAGAAGGTTTCAGGGCTATTGTACACAGGGTCACTAGGAGTTGCAAGCGACTTGATGACACTGAACAAAAACAAAGCAAAATATTGCTGAAGATTATTCAGGAACAGCTAATGCAGTACACTGACAGATAACACCCTGAAAAATCAAGCAGAAGTTAGAAGAAACTGTGGCACAAGGGATATCACTGCTGATATCATATATATTTTGGCCAAAAGAAGACACTACCAAAAGGATGTTTATTTGTGTTTTACTGATTATGCAAAAGCATTTCATTATGTGGATCACAGTAATTTATGGCTAACACTGAGAAGAAAAGAAATCCGGCTACTATCTGAACAAAGCAAAGGAACACTGGTTTAAAATCAAAAAAGGTGTATAACAGTGCACCTGTGTGAACAAATCATTCAAGAACCCAAACTTTATGAAGAAGAATGTGGCATAAGGATTCATCAACAAAGTGCATTATGTATGTGACCTTGCTTGAGGAGAGCAAGCAGGACTTACAGTGCTTGCTGCACATCATGATATAATTTCTAAATATGGATTATCCCTCAATAAGAATATAACAAAAGTCCTCCTCAGCAGGCCAGTAGGCAACATTACAATAGAGGAAACTGAAGTTGTTAATGATTTTATCTTGCTTGGATCCACCATCATCACTCTTTGTACTGGTTGCCAAGAAATATACTGCATTGAGAAAATCTGCTGTCAGAGATCTCTCTAGAGTACCAAAAAACAATGATGTCGGCTTAAAACACTAAGATGCAACTAATCCAAGCTATAGTCTTCTCATTTGCATGCTATGCATCTCAAAGATGGACAATGATCAAGGGCAACAAAAAAAGAATAGATGTCTTTGAGTTGGGATCTTGGAGAAGAGTATTGACTCCCAGGGAGTGTCAAGAAAATAGGTCTTTCTTAGAGAAAGTGAAACCAGAGTACTTGGAAGAAAGGTAAAACTGCATTTCTCATACTTTCGGGATGTTGTGAGAAGGGGCTAGTCCTTGGGGATGGATATTATGAATGCTAAGGTAGAGAATTTGGACAACAGAAGAAAACCTTGGATGAGATGCATCCACACATTAGGATATCTTCTTCCTAGGACTAGGCCCTCCTGGTAACTTGCTCAAAGCACAGAAGATGGTGTTTCACCATCTGATGAGTGATCTCGCTGCACTTCTTCCTAGACATTTTTGGTCTTCTGGCAGTCCGTGGGATATGCTGTACTTTCTCCAATACCAAAATTCAGAGATACTGATTATTCTGTCAACTTTATACATAGTACAACTTTCAGATGCATAGGAAGGAACTGAAGTACTATATAAATTCTTTTGGTACAGTGACTCTGTATTATGTGCACCTCCTTCTGTTATTATTGTTGTTATGCATCTTCTTTTAATGCTTAATTAAGGCTTTAATTCACTGGTTTGTTTTTCTTCTAAAGAATCCATCAACATTACAAATTGAGGCTCAAGTCCGTTTTTCATTTCTTTCAGCCTGAGAAATTCAGAATGTGTTCTTCCCAAAGGGTTCCTAACTCAGCCCTTTGCACATTTTATTAGTCTGTTTTCTTGTTCTGCTCTTTGAAATCTTCTGTACAGTTGTCCTATCTTACCCTTGTTTTGGCTTTTTCTTCTAGTCCAAGTTTCAGAATCTCTTCTTGACATCCACTTGTCTTTAATTTTCAGTCTTTGTAATGACCTTATGCTTTCTTCAGGAATGATGGCATCCCATAATTCATCTGGTCTTTGGTTGTTAGTGCTCAAGACATCAAATATGGTTAATTCAGGTGGGATTGACTCAAGGTCCTATTTTGGTTATTGTGGACTTCTTTTAATTTTCATGACTTTCAGTTTAAACTTGTATGAGTCACTGATAGTTCTATTCTTCCCACAGATGTAGTAAACCTGATTCTTGTATAGTCCATCAGGTGAGATAACGTGTTACATTTGCCATTTATGTTTTTTATAAAAAGTAATGTTAAAAAAAAAAGTAATGTTCAAAATTCTTTCATATCCTCTCTAAAATATTTGTTTACTAAAGCCGTATTTTCCAATTACTATTTCTTATTGTTTCTAATTTTTTTAATCCAGTCACCAATTATTATTATTGCATCTTAATAAACTTAAGTTCATTTCAGACCACAAAACCTGGTAGAAATCTCCAATTTCTTCATTGTTGGCTTTAACGCATGGTAGGCATATATGAGCAATAGTTGTAGAAACAAGTCCCTCTTTTATACATACAGATACTCTATCACTGGCAGCACTATACTTCAAGACAGACTCTGAAATGTTCTTTTTGATAATGAATGAATGAATATCTTTCCTGTTTGTCTGTCATTCTGGCATAGTAGATCATATGACTACCGCATTCAAGATGGCCAATTCTAGTCCATTTCTAGTCACTAATTCCTAGGACATCCTATTTCATTTTTTTACAACTTCCAATTTTCCTAGATTCCTATTTCATACATTCTACTTCCAGTTACTATTAGATACTTGCACTGTTTCCCTTCAATTTGAATCTTGCCATATCAACAAATGATGGTCCTTAGTGGATGAAAGCTTATTTCATCTAGGACATTAAACACAGATTCTACTTTGAAGAGGCATTTCTTCCCCAGCTGCATTCTGAATGCCTTCCAACATGCAGGGCTTATCTTCTGGCACTACAGTCAACAATGTTCTGTTATCCAAAGGGTTTTTGAAGATCAATTCTTTCAGAAATGGATGGCCAGTGCTCCTTAGTCTATAAGATATGTTGAACTTATCCACCATGGGTGACTCTGCTGGTATGTGAAATACTGGTGGCATAGCTGTCAGTATCACAGCAACACGTAAGCCACCAGAGAGTATGGCAAAATGACAGATGAGTGGTGTTTAACAATAGAGAATAATACATTTCTAAAGCAAATTAGTGACACATACATTTAGTACAAAGGTTTAGAGTAAGTGATCATTAACTAAGACTTCAACACAAAACTTAATATCGAATTTAGAAAAACTTCAACTTATTCATAAAGTATTTCCCAAATAAAAACTACATGAAGACAAAAATGGGCCTTTTTATGAAGACGGTGCCAAAATAAGAAAGAAAGCCTCTGTCCCTCCTAAGACAAATCAAGTGTTAAAAGCCAAGAAGGAAGTCCTGAAGGGCATCCATAGCCACAGACACAAAAACAAACAAAAGATCCACAAATCACCCACCTTCACAGCAACCTAAGATGCTGAGACCCCAAAGTAACCCAAACTCTCCTGAAACAGCATTCACAGGACAAACAAGCTTAACCACTATGTCATCATCAAGTTTATGCTGGCCACTGAGTCATTCATGAAGACAGAACAACATACTTGTGTTCACTGTGGATGTCAAAGGCAAGAAGCACCACATCAAACAAATTGTAAGGAAACTCTATGACACTAATGTGGCCAAGGTTAACACTTTGATTAGGCCTGATGGAGAGAAGGCAGCCTATATTTGACTTGCTCCTGGCTATGATGTTTTGGATGCTGTCGACAAATTTGGGATCATCAAATATGGTAATTCTGAATACAAATTTCTCTCTCTCTCTCACACACACACACAAGACATATGTACTCATTCTGCAAATCTTTACTTCAAGATGATGTTTACATACCAATTGTGTGAGTAGGTTTAACTGAACCAGGTTTGTTTTCTTGATGGAGACTATCTGAATTTCTAGTGGCAAGAGGTTTTGCAACCGGAGCTGTAGATTTATCATTGGTTTCTCCTGTCCAACGAAGAGTGAACTGCAACGTAGGTCCCTGAGAAAATGTTTCAAATGGAGGCAGCCTCTAAAACAGAAACAACACAAAAAAGACAAGATTCAGATAACAAATGAAAATTAGAGAAAGTAAAGGGGGGAAAAAAATTAATGTGGTAAATCTAACTGAAAGGCTTTCATTGAAAACTCAAAATACCTACAGGGAATGCTAGACAAGTAAAGTAAAACAGCATATACTGCAGAATGGGAGAACTCAGGCTGAATAAAAGGTACACGAATCTTTCCAATAGCTTACGTGCTGCTGTGTAAATACTGGCCTAGCAGAGGCAGATTATTAGATTTTTTTCAAAAGTACTATCAAGTCTACGTTTACCTGGGAAATTGAATTTTTTAACATAGGTAACAAGTTTAAAAAGGCATTTAAAAAAAAGGAGTTTAAAAACCTCAAGTCTACTGTAAAGTCATGTTTACATGGCCAATACGTATTTCCTTGCCATCTCTCAGCTTCACTAACAATAACTACTCTAGCTTCTATCCCTTGGTTATGGGATACTGAAGTAGCCTGTTTTTCACCTACTGGTCTCAATTTCTACCTAAAATTAAGTCATCTGCCCTATTCTCTAACTCCACAAGGTTCTACCTTGGGCTGATGATCCCAGACTGGATCTTTGGGCTTTTAGACTTGAGCTCTAAATCTCTATTTCTGTTTTTCAGAGATCATCAGTTGGGCTTAAATCTGTTTAGAAGTTAATCTATTTTCTTTTTAGAAAATAAATTGTCCTTTGCAAGTACAATTACTTTTGTTCCAGGCACTATCATTCTACTCGAATCCTATTCCTTTTTCTATTTCTCATCAAGTCTCTTTTTTTTGTAAAATGGCTATCATGTCTTTATCTCTTGGCTTTTTCTCACTTTTATTTCCAATTCCATACATAAGCCAAATCAAAACCACTGCGGTTGAGTCTGATTTTGACGCATAACAACCCTCCATTGAATTTCATTTTCACATGTTAGGGGTGCTGTGGCAAAGAGGATGTAGATTAGGACTGTATGGCTGGATTAGGACTGCTGCTATAAGCCAGGATGCTGAAACACAGAGGCCATCCTAGCCCCCAGGCCTTATCACTCCTTGAAGAAACTTGATAATGTCTGATGTGACCAGACAATGGATCCTGATAAGGCTCTGGGCCTGATCACCAAAGTCCATGTTGTTGTTATGTGCCATCAAGTCCCTTGCAACTCATAGGGACCCTATGTACAACAGCCCTAAACTCTGCTCTGCCCTGTGCCAATCACACTGTCTCTGATACACCCATTCCGATTACCAGTCACTGAATCAATCCACCTCATAGAGGGCCTTCCCCTCCAGCACTGTCCCTCCACCCTACCAAGCATGATGTCCCTTCTCCAAGGACAGGTCCCTCCTTACAATATGTCCAAAGTATGTCAGACGAAGAAGCCTCAGAATACTTGCCTCGAAGGAGCAGTCTGCTTTAACCCTCTCCAAGATGAATCTGTTTGTTTTCTTAGCAGTCCATGGTATACTCAATACTGTTCTCCAGCACCACAACTCAAAGGCATCAATTTTCCTTTTAGCCTCCCTAGTCGCTGTCCAACTCTCTGACCCATAACAAGTGATTGCAAAGCCCACGGCCTTTATCAGATGCACTTTATAGTCTCCAGAAGAGACACTACTGCTCTTCAGTATTTTGGAGAGGTCCCTAACAGCAGACTTTCCCATAGTAATACGTCTTTTAATTTCCTGGATGCTGGTGCCAAGAGTGTTGACTGTGGAGCCAAGCAAACTAAAGCTGTGAACAATCTCAATTTTTTCACCATCCATCCTGATGCTGCCAATTGGTCCAGTGGTGAAAATCTTTGTCTTCTTGTTATCGAGCCTCAATCCATATTGAAGGCTGCAGTCCTTGAGTCCATATCTAAGTTAATTAATAGCCCCAAATTACTCCCTTAAACCCCTATGAAAAGAAACCCACTTTGACTGTCCTCTGCCAATCTGACATACTCCACATGCATCTCTCTCAGACCACGCAATAAAGGCCTGTTCCTTTGGGGGGAGAGGGGGAAGCAGGCCTACAAGCGCTTCTAGTAATATCTGGTATCATTCCCCTTTACAGAAACCCTTCAATGGGCTGTTTTAATGACACACATGAATAAGCTCCCAAATCTTTATTACAAGTAATCTTTTTATTAAAATTTTTAGACCAGATCAATAATCAGGTTATTAGAACCTGTGAGTAAAAATACTGCTAGAATAGACAGGAGGGAGCGTTGGTGGCCTAGTGGTAAGCAGCTATGCTGCAATCCCAAAGGCACAGGGTTTGAATCTACTAGCTGCTAAGTAGAAGAATGGGTAATCTCTTCCTGGGAGGAAAATCCACTAGTCTATAGATTAGTTTCAACTCAACAGCACACAACAGTAAATGATCAATCACTAAAAATGGGTTTAGTTCAACAAATAATGGGATATTTACTTCAAGATTACCACAGAGCTTTTAAAAAGTAACTCTGAGGGGGGGGGGAAGTAATCCTGGGTATCCCAAGTTGTTATTTTGAAGTAAATAGTTTATAAATATCATATATATAATCTTTATTTTCCCATGAACAAATATGACATACCTTTAATAAAATTTAACACTAAAGTATTTTAAAAATAAAGACTACAGATAATTAAAATACATTAAGTATGAAGACATAAAAAATTGTGTGAAATACTATCACCCAAAGAGGTAGCATATTTTTAAATTTATTTTTTATATTTTTAATAATTTTTTAATTAATTTTAATGAAAATTTACAGAGACTTTGGATTTCCAGTCATTCATTGTTGCACTTTTCTCCCTGCCCACCCCTCCACCCCAGTACACTCTTCTCTTTTAAAAGTCTTTCATTGTTTTACAATCCCTCCCCCCAGGTCCACTCCACTATGCAGCCTTTGTTCTGGACTTCTGTCACGATGACAATAATACCTAATCAGATATCCCTTTTAAACAGTTTTCTCCCTCATCTGTTTCAATGCAGTATACATAATTTACCCAGTTTTTCTCAGTCTCCCCTCAACCCCGATGTGAGTTCCATTTTACAACAGTGGCACCATGCAGTATTTGTCCCTTTGTGACTCAGATATTTCACTCAGCATAATGTCCTCTAGGGTCACCCATTTTGAATAATATTGCATGAGTTCCTTGTTTTTCAATGCAGCACAGTATTCCATTGTGTGAATATACCACAGCTTCTCTATCCATTCATTTGTTGATGGGCACTTAGCTTGTTTCCAACGCCTTGCTATTGTGAACAAAGCCGCGATAAATATGGGTGTGCGTATATCTGCTTGGGTGGCAGTTATGGTCTCTTTAGGGTATATTCCCAGTAGTGGAATTGCTGGGTCAAATGGTATTTCTATCTGCAACTTTTTGAGAAAGCACCACACTGCCTTCCACAGTGGTTGCACCATTTTACACATCCACCAATAGTGAATAAGGGTTCCAGTTTCTCCACCACCTTGCCAGAATTTGATGTTTGCTGTTCTGTTAAATTTTGCTATTCTTACTTCAGTGAGATGGTATCTCATAGTTGTTTTGATTTTCATCTTTCTTTTTTTTTTTAATTTATTTTTTATTATTTTTGTGTGCGTGTACCATCAAATCAGATCTGACTGCTACAGGAGGAGATTGTCCCTCCTTCCCCAGCAGAGGATCTGGTGGATTCGAACCATGCGCCTCTGGGATTGCAGTTGCAGCTCCTTGCCACTAGGCCACCAGAGCTCCCCAATTTGCATCTTTCTTAGAGCTAGGGATTTTGAACATTTTTTCATATGCTTGTTGGCCATCTGAATGTCTTCTATGGTGAAGTGTCTGTTCATATCCTCTGCGAAGTAAGGATGGGCAATCTCCTCCTGTGTGATTAACTGCCTCTGAAAACCCACCAGAGCGCCAGCTATTGAGTCGGTTCCAACTTGATGGTGCACAACAACAAAAACAACAACAACATCATAATCATACTTGTAAAGACTAATCTATTTAGATAAAAGTTGTTCTCGATTTTTCACTTCAAAAACACTAAAGAAATACGTTCCCAAACAAACAAAAACCCCGAGAACAGTTACTACCTATATCTTTTCACTTGACCAGTTATTACCTTGTGACTAAACTCTAGAAGTTAAACTACTGTTAAGAACCATGAATATAGGGGAGCTCTGGTGGCCTAGTGGCAAAGCGCTGCAACTACAATCCCAGAGGTGCACGGTTCGAATCCACCAGATGCTCTGCCGGGAAGGAGGGACAATCTCCTCCTGTACCAGTCAGATCTGATTTGACGGTCAACTACAATCCCAGAGGTGCATGGTTCGAATCCACCAGATGCTCTGCCGGGAAGGAGGGACAATCTCCTCCTGTACCAGTCAGATCTGATTTGACGGTACACTCACACAAAAATAATAATAATTTTAAAAAAAGAACCATGAATATAATTTCAATTTTTATACATATTGTTAGTCTTTTCTCTAGAGTAAGGTGGAATCAAGTTTTCTTACATCAAAACATATACTTTAGCAATATTTGCAAAGTTCAACAGGGCAGCAAACAACAAATGCTGGTGCAGTTGTAGAGAGACTGGAACTATTATTCACTCCTGACAGGAGTGTAAAATGTTACAAGCATTATGGAAGGCAGTCTATTTATTTCTCAAAAAAGTTAAAAACAGAAACACCATGACTCTATAATCCCACTATATACCCTAAAGAAAACCAGAGTCGTGACTCAAACAGATATAAACACTCATGTTTACTGCGGTGTTATTCACAACAGCAAAGAGATGGAAGCAACTAAAGTGCTCATCAATAAATCAACGGACAGAAAAGGTATGGTACAGTTACACAACAGAGTATTATACAGCACTAAAAAACAATGAACTTATAAAACACTACACAACATAGTGAGCCTGGAGGACATTATGCTGAATGAATTACCTCAGTTAAAAAAGGACAAATATTTCACAACATCACAATTATAAAATAGAATATATATTAGGGGCTGGGAGAAAAGGAAAGAGTGGACTGATAATGAACACTACATTCAAACAGGTGAAGGGAATAGTCTGAAGGGAATATATGATTGTTGTTATTATTGTTAAGTGTCATCGAGTTGCAGGCAACTCATAGCGACCCTATGAAGGAGAGTCCTGGAAGCCTGGGTGCCTTTCATCCTCTCTCCAGGTTTATAGGGTTTCCAGAGGCAAGCTATTATGGAATTTGATGCCACTCCTCCATCCAAGCCTGTTTTAATCGGGGAGTTCCACCCCACTCTCTGTCCGCATAGGGTAGCCAACCATTAACGCATTTGACACATCAGTGTCACAGTGTTTGGCCTCACAGCAACCACAAGTGACTGCTGAGGAATGTCTGAACAAAAACAATGAAAGACAGGACCAAGGGCCGCAGATTAAAAGTCACCCACCTTTAGCTTGGTAGCATTGCTTGGGCTTGAAGCCCCGTTGCTGCCTTAAATCATTAGGTATCATTAGGGCCCCTATAACTTAGAGGAATATATGATTAGGTATTGTATATATGACAACAGTCTGGAACAAGAGGTCCATTGAAAATTGGACTGGGGAAGAAGGAAGAGGGACAAAACTGTGTAAAAATTAATTAAAAAAATTATCCACCCACCAACCAATTTCTGCAGCTCTGCAACTGCATCCCTGCCCATCCTCACCCTTCTGCCCCCAACCCTCACCTCCTTGTACCAATATATTTTTCTCAATTAAAAAAAAAAATTAAAACATTAAATTAAAAACCTCCAAAAAAACAACTCAAATTTATATGTTAAAAAACCCCAAACAAACATATATCTATTTTATTGGATCCTTTACATCCCAAACACCAGCAGTATTTTTAATCTTTGCTCAACTCTCATTGTCACTGAGTCTGCAAGACTGGAAACTGTCCATCTTTTGCCTGTGGAGCGATTTGTGAATTTCAATCACCAGAGAAGGGTAGCCTTTGGGTTAGAAGCACAACTCTCTATTGTCTCCTATAAACAAATTATCAGACAATAATATCTGTCTCCACATATTTTTACAGACTAATAAAACTGTACAGCATCTTAAACATGTACTTTCTCCTTGGGTGAAAGATAAGCAGTCTCTTCTCATGATTTACAGTCTCAGAAATCCAATGGGAGGTCAGCTATGAGTGGCTTCTGTTTCAAGTTTTTAGTAATGTCCATTTGTTCTTTAAAAAACTGTCCAGTTGTCTTTATTTTTCCTATTAAATTTGTTTTTCTGTCATTGATTTAGAAAAATATGTATTCAGATTAGCTTCTGTGTACTCCAAGTATTTTCTGTGAAACTATCATTTCTCTTTTAACCTTTATAGAAGGCAAAATATCATGTCTACATTATAAAATGTAGATACAAATTATTTTAGTTGAACACAATTTTATGCTTCTGGCTTTCGTGTGTGAGTGCACGCAAGAACGCATACCACTGAGTTGGATCAAACTGGCACAGGAGGAGACTGGCCATCCTTCTCCAGTGGAGAATCTGATGGATTTGAACTGTGTGCCTTTGAGATTACAGTACAGCTTCTTGCCACTAGGCTAACAGAGCTCCCTGCTTCTAGCTTTTTGTATCATAATTAGAAGGGCCTTCTTCAGTATCAAGATATATTCATCTATATAATCTCTCAAAAGTTATGTAGTTTACATGTTTCTCATTTCTCAGCCTTCTGGAATTTATTAGCTCTATGAAGCACCTGCTGCAGAGGGTCAAGGACTGCAGCCTCCAATATGGATTGAGGTTCAATGTCAAGAAGACAAAGATTCTCACCACTGGACCAATTAGCAGCATCAGGATGGATGGTGAAGAGATTGAGATTGTACACAGCTTTAGTTTGCTTGGCTCCACAGTCAACAGTCTTGGCACCAGCAGCCAGGAAATTAAAAGGTGCATTGCCATGGGAAAGTCTGCTGTTAGGGACCTCTCCAAAGTACTGAAGAGCAATGGTGTCTCTCTGGAGACTAAGGTGCATCTGATACAGGCCACGGTCTTCACAATCACTTGTTATGCATCAGAGAGTTGGACAATGACCAAGGAGGATAGAAGGAGAATTGATGCCTTTGAGCTGTGGTGCTGGAGAAGAGTATTGAGAATACCATGGACTGCTAGGAAAAGAAACAGATCTGTCCTGGAAAGGGTTAAACCAGGTGGCTCCTTGGAGGCAAGGATTCTGAGGCTCCGTCTAACATACTTTGGACATGTTGTGAGGAGACCAGTCCTTGGAGAAGGACATCATGCTTGGGAGGGTGGAGGGACAGCGCAGGAGGGGAAGGCCCTCTATGAGGTGGATTGATTCAGTGATTGGGATAATTGGGATGGAAGTGTCAGAGACAGTGCGACTGGCACAGGACAGAGTAGAGTTTAGGGCTGTTGTACATAGGGTCGCTATGAGTCGCAAGTGACTCGACGGCACATAACAACAACAACATGTTTATCTTCAGAAAGCTAGAGATGTGATCTGTCAAAATCAAGTTCATTATTTCTACACAAATCTGTAATACCATCTTTATCATAAACTGAATTTAAAATACACGTGAAACTTTTCAGAACCACACATTAGTGACTGGCTTAGTTTACTCCTATGTTTAAACCATACTTTATTTTAGCTATATTATAGTTTACCTTCTGCTAAGTCAAATCTCTCCTTAGGATAATTCTCTACCACTGTACTTATTTAGTATTATTATTATATATTTATTCTTCCAGGTTAACATCCCATGGACTGCAAAAAGAACAAATATTTCTTGGAGAGGGTGTAGCCAGAGTGCTCTTGAAGGCAAGGATAATGAGACTTTGCCTCACATACTTTGGTCAGGTTGCTAGGAGGGGTTATTCCTTAGAGAAGAACATGATGCTCAAAAAGGTAGAGTTGGTGGAGGAGAGGACGATCCTTGACCAGGTGGATTGACACAGTGACTGCCACAATGGACTCCAATGTGTCAGGAGTGTGTGGATGGCACACGACAGTACATGGTTCATATCTGTTATTCATAGGGTTGCTATAGGTTGTATTCGGCAGCACTTAACAACATCAATATGGAACGAATCTTAATGCTGAAATAATTTAGGAGTTTTGTTTATGATCTGGTAAATTTAGAAATAATTGACATCTTTTATTTTTTAAGTCTTGCTTCCCAGAAGTATACATATGCCTGTTTACTTTTCCATATCTTTGGCTATTTTAAGCATGCTTCAATCAAGTTCTACAGATATCTTGATAAATTTATTACTACTTGTCACATTTACTTGCTGTTACTGTGACTAGACTTACTAGCAGTTAAAATTTAATGAACATTTATTTTATGTCAAACACAGTGCTAAGGATATTCTATTGATTATCTCATTTACCCATTAATTTTTTTTTAAATTTTATTTTATTTCATTATTTTTTGTGTGTACCATCAAATCAGATCTGACTGATAAAGGAGGAGATTGTTCCTCCTTCTCTCCAACAGAGCATCTGGTGGATTTGAACCATACACCTCTGAGATTGCAGTCCAGCTTCCTGCCACTAGGCCACCAGAGCTCGCCTAGCCCATTAATTTTATGTCTCATTTTACAAATGAGAACATTGAGACATAAAATTAGTAACTTGCCAAATTCCACACAACTATTAAGTGATGATGGATTCAAGATTTGAACTCAGGTAGACTGACTGATGTTTTACATTTAATGTTCTGACTAAAGCACTGATTTCTTTCAAAAGTACTGAAATGACTCTTCCACTTAAATTTATACTGAAGAAAAAAAATCAAGGAAAAACTGGAATTCATAATTATAACAAGCTGAACCTTATAAGCAGTCCATACCTTCCCATCAAGAATAGTTTCCCATGTTGCTCTTTTCTTGCTTATAGGACATTCTTCCATTTCCTGCATGGCTACTTCATATTCCCCATCTAAAAGCTGTAAGCGCCTGTTAGACAAACACATGCACTTTAGAGTAATCTGTTTATTTTTGTATGGACATAAATTCTACATCTTTAGGTTTATACTAAAAACATTTATTAAGCCTGTAAAATAATAAGTATACCTAGTAAGATTTTAAAATACGCCTATACTCCATTGATGACAAAGTTATTTTACAAAATTGCACTAGTAACTATTATTCAGAGACTTAGTTTATTATAGTATTTATCCAGATAGAACTTTACACATTTTAACATGTCTAAGGACTAAAAACTCAGTTAAGTTTTAAATGTTAAAATATAGTGTAGGCTTTAGATTTTAAAAATTAGGATAATGGTGTTATAATACTAGCAACAATACTCAGGGGTCATCAAAAATTATGCCTGTTGTTTTGAATGATTTAAATGCTTAAACTAAAATTCTTTACTACTTTTACTTGAACAGTACAATTATTACAGCGACTTTGAAAACTCTAAGTTCTTAGGAGCATCTGTTACACACAGGGACCCAATAAATATTTCAGGATTGAGTGAATAAATGAAATGTTGGTTGAGTCAATGTGTATCTATACTCACAGCACAGCTAAATGTGTAGGTGTGTACATGCCTGGGTTTATATCTGTGTAGCTCTGGTGGTGTAGCTCTTTAGCAGTTCAAATTTAACAGCTGCTCTGCAGAAAGACAGGAAATCTCCTCCTATAAAGATTTACAGGCCTAAAAACCCAATGGAAGGTCACTACGAGTCAGAATCGACTCCACACAGTGAAAGAATAAAACTGTTTTATTGTATTTAAAATATTTTATTTAGAAGCCTTTGTACGCTGACACTCTTCAAAGTATACTGAATAGTTAATTTTAAGTTTCTTTTTATCAGCCTTATGATTTTTGTTAGATAATAGCTAACACTTCAATTTAGTCTACCACAACAGTGCAGCTATAAAATCATTCACCTCTTTATAGGGGAAAAAAAAAGTTAATTTGAATTTCATTAATTTGAATAAGGGATATACCAAAATGTTTCTAAGTGAGCTCCTTCCATTCTTTTACCCTAAAACGGCTATAAGTATGCCCTTCTATGGCTATATATTTGATAGTTACAGTCAAATTTACTCTCTAACTTACGATGTGTGAAGAGGTCTTCTCACATAGCCTCATCAACAGGGATTTGCTAAGCTTTTCAATTTTTGTCAATCTGGTTTAAGTGAAAAAATGATACCCAAGTAGACTTTTAATTCAGATGTCTTAGTTACCTTTTTAATTGATAAGAGCCATATATCTTTTTTTCTCTTGTAAAGGTTCTATGCATTTAACTTAATTCTTTTACTGGATTTTAGTCTTTTCCATTTTAATTAGTAAGATTACTCCGTTAAAACTGAAAGACATCTGTCTTTAGTGTGAATAAGAATTTATATTCTCCTGACCTGTCATTTTTATTTCAACATCTTTATGGTGGTTAAAATTTTACTTTTATAGATATGGGGTTTTTTCCTCTTAATTATTTTGCTAACAGTTTCATAATTTCCTATATTAATTTCTCAATTTTGGTCTTGCTTTAGGGAAACTTAAACCTCATAAAGATTATAGATTTAATTCTCACACATTTAGTCCTCTGATCTTGACTTGTAAATAAATATCACTTCTCTACTAAAAGGAAGCAAGATTCCTTGAAGAAATGGCCAATGTCAGAGAAGACACAATAAAATGAGAAGACAGGTCTGGATTTCCCCCCTCCCAAAATATCACTATTTAATCACTACATTTAACTTGAGTTCACAATCAATGCCCATGATTTTGTCTTGTAGGAAATGCAACCAAGGTATTCCTTAGAGGCAAAGACGGTGGTACTGTGGACAGGAGGTGCCAGTTCTTGGAAAAACATGTTCAGAAAGACAGAGAACAAGGGAAAGAGAGACGGACATTCAAAGAGATGGACTGGCACTGTGACTTCAACATGGGCTTGAATGTGGCAGAGACTGTCAGGATGGTGCAGGACAGGGCAAGGTTTCAATCTGTTCTTCATAGAGTCACTACAAGTCAGAGGTGACTCTACAACACTTAACAATAACTTTTACCTCTTGTAAATAACTTTCTACCTGTTGGCTATAATAACTATTATACTAAAATAAGAATACATTTTAAAGAGTAAATAGCAGATGTGCCCTTTTTGTTTTTCTTGGCTCTTTCCTCCTATACAATTATGCACTGCATAGTATCTGGTCATTCAGATATGGAAGCTATTATTCTACATTTAAGTCTGTTGTCCGTAAAGTCACAGTGCATACAATAATAACAGTAAATGGTACTTTATGATGTGAATCAAAAGTTACTGTTACTGCATTATGTTGAAGATGTCTTACTCTATCTTAAAATGTTTAGTAGTTTTTATGGACAGAAAGTTATTGTGCACTAAGACAAATATTTGACTTAAATAGATACAAAATGCCTAATTTTACTGAATTATGTAGAAATTCAACTTAAAAACAGACTTAGAAATGGAGTTTATTCATAATCCAGGGACTGCCTAGATAATATGGTCTTCTCAAAACAGATAAATCACGTAATAATCAGACAGAATTTTATCATGGATACAACTACACTAGGTTGAAAGTGAACTGTTATTGGTCAATGAGAAGCCTAGAACAAGAAACCATGGCATACCATAGATTTAGGCTTTGCCTGTCAATCTAGAGAGAGAAGAGAGAGAGAGACACAGAGAGAGGGGAGAGAGAGAGGAGAAAGAACAAAGAGGGGGGAGAGAAAAAGAGAAATGATGGAGCTGTTTCCTAGAGTCATTTTTATGGTTTTAAGTTACTTCATTACCAAGTTGTGACTTGAAGAGAGATGCTTTTAGGCCCAAATGTCACAATGATTACACACAACATTCTTCCTCAACATGAGTAAATACATAATTCCAAGATCTACATTCAAATGTGAATATTCAAACCGCTTTTCAACTATTACTGTGATCTAGATGCTTTCTCTAGCAGAAACTACACTCTTCTTCACTACAATCAATATAATTAAGTTACTATGATAATCTTTTGGGAGTAGAATTTGTTTCTACTAAGTTGGTAACATTTTAGGTTGCTACAAATAGAATTTAAATTCTTTGAAGGCAGGGACTTTATTCTCATTGCCTAGAACAATGGCAAAAAGCTGACACTCAGAATATAAAGAAAAATTTTTTATTTAGTAAAATGAGCCATCCAAACAGTTCTTCCATCTAGGTTTATTGCACTTTATGTGAAAAAGAGAAAGTCTAGGATTTATAAATTTATTTTCATCCATATACTAAAGGAAAATGACAGCAAAGAAATATTTAATATACCAATATTAAAGTCTGTGTCATATTAAAGCCTTCCTTGAACAGTATGGGAACCACACTTATCCATCCAGTACCTGTTTTTATCAAATACCGTCATCTGCGCAACAAATGTCTTTTCCCCATCTTCACGATTTCGTTTTCTTCTAGCTGGAAGTTCTTCATTGACATCTGAATTTGACAAATATTTCCCATAAGTCAAAATATTCACAGGAAAATTTTATATTTATGCTATATGGTCCCTTAACTTAAAACATACTACATTTAGTCTAAATGCAACAGAGAAGAAAATAAAGTTTAAACATTAAAAAAATACTCTTCAAATATTCACTATTTGATTATTTGTAGATATCCTTCCTGTGTGACATTCATTGACATTTGCCCTACACTTTTTTCTTTTTTTTATATTTTATTCATTTTAATGAACATTTACAGAGATTTTGGATTTCCATTCATTCGCTGTTGCATCACCCTACACTTTTAAAAACACTCTTAAAATCTGGAACCATCTTCCTTGTTAAACAAAACCTCCCTCACTCATGAGTACTTTTCAAGAACTTCAAAATATGCCTCAAGTTATTATTATTATATAAAAAAAAAGGTCTCAAAAGGTACGAAGCCACCTGGGCAATTAGGTGCTTCACAAATGAAATGATACTTTAGTAACAGCACTCATCATTTCGCTGTGATTATTTATGTCATGTCTGTCCCTCTGTGGCATCCACTTTCTAAACAACATGCCTCTGGAAACTCTATGAACTTTGAGAAATCAGAGTATTAAAAGGCTCAGGTCTTCTGTTCATAGAGTCGCTATGACTCATGCTCGACTAAACAGCAATCAACAACAATACCTCTATATTAGGTTGTAAATCTTTGAGAGGGAAAACTGTTGCTTCATCATCATTGAATCCTTAACACCTCTATGTTGGGTCAATGATTACTTCAGAGAAGAATTTAGAATTGTAGGAAGAACAGAAGAATGGATAAAGGGATAGATTCTTTTAAGTGTGTGAACTACATGGTGTTGATAGAGATTCACTATTCAATTTTTCTATTATGTTTGAAATTTCTCACAATAAAATATCCATGAGGGTTGAGACATATTCATTTTCCTAAAAAGATTAATTTGACGGGCCAGTCCAGGCTGATCCATTATTCAATTTATATTCACTGCCTGAAATTTACACAATGAGAACTTTACATTAGTATACAATCAGGTACATACAATATTCAACAGTCTATGTAAGAAGTAGGGCAATCTACCATAAAATTATTTCACTGAACTATACACGATTTGTGAAATAAAGAGCATCTAGATCTAGGGCTTAGATCTAGCACTATCCCGTATTCTTCCATGGAAGGTAAGATTTTAAAATAACCCAAAGAGAAATAATTTAAATTCATTTTTATCAACAACCTTAGTTTCTGATGACAAAATCTAGTAAAAATTATTAAAATAAAAATTACCAATATTTTCATTGGTTTCTCCATTTATCATTCCATTAAACTCTCTTCTTCCAGGGCGAGTCACTCTAAATAGCAATGAGTAAGACTTCACCATATGGCTGTTACTAGGTTCAAATTCATTACTGGAAACTGCAAGGGACGGGAAATTTCCAGGTTTTGTTTGATTGAGGTCAGGATTCAAAGGCACCTGCTTTTTACCTGTGGGAACTTGTCTTATTGGACAACTTACATCCTGCAAAGGTAAAAATTATTACATTTATTTGTGTGCCTGCAATTATAAATATTACAAAATAAACTTTGTTCAGAGTTGTTAAGAAACATGGCACAGCTTATGATTACTAAATAAAATGTTAACATTCTAATTATAGTTCTGAAAACTATGTTACTATACACAAGGAGAAAAATGTTAAAAACAAACCCCTCCTATATACAAAAACCCAAACCTGGTTTAGCTATATCCCAAATGGGAGAGCTCTGGTAGTATACTCCATAATCCAAAAACTGTGCCTCTCTGATGGTTCAAATCTACCAGCTGGCCTGTGTAAATCTTCTCAAGCAGTTTACAGGGTCTAAAAACCTGCTAAAGAGTCAGCTATGTGCCAGTTACGACTCAACAGCGATGAGTTTAGAGTTAACAATTATTAAAAAAACCCTGAGGTTGTCCCAGTATAATAAAATATAGCATTATCTAATATGAAACTGAAGGTCATATGAAATAGTTTTATATTAGTAAAATTACGGAATTAAAATTACACTCAAAATGCTAAAGTCATAAATTCAAGCTTCCCTTTTTATTTTCTATTAACTGATGGGACAATTAAAAATAAAAAATGTCCTATAAAAATAAAAAATGTCCTATAACTTTGAACCAGATTAACACCGAATCCAAGTATAAAAGCAAATGATCACCTTCAAATGGGGAGGCATATTTTGAGAGGATTTTCTCACTCTCCCAGATCTACAATATTAGGTGCTTTGGATATTGAGAAAAAAAAAAAAAAAAAAAGACAAGACTGTTGAAATCTCACTACTGACAACATCACAGATGATTACTATAAATAATTATGTATATTCTTCCCAGAAAATGTTTTTTCTACATATATTGGGTTTTTGTGGTTTTTAAAACATAAAAAAAAGAGTACCTTAAATGTACTTCCTATTATTTTCCCCAATAAATGTATCTTAAAAGACTTTTTCTATCATTGCTATTTTAATGGGAGAGAATCAGCCATAATATTTTCTAACTTTTTTTCCCCTAACTTATTTTTAACATTCAATTTAACTGCCACCTTCCTCCTACCACTCTATCCTAATCCCTACCAACCCTCCAGTAGTTATCATGAGGTATCACCTTACGAAAATTTTGTAAGTGTATTAGTAATATGAACCTCCATATAAACAGTTCTTATTCCTCTTAAAAGATCGAAGGACTAGGGACTACTAAAAGTATTTTATCTGTTAACATTAGTGTGTTGTTCAGGAACTTTAACTACTGTTAACTCTTATTTCTATGGTGAATTAATTTAATTTTATAAACGAAATGCTAAAAATGCTGGCCACAGAATTCTATTTCCTCTGAGTACTATTCTGAGACAAATACTCTTGAGAAAAACTCTCCTTTCCATCTAAAAATTTAATAGTAATACCTAAAGAAGATAAAAGGTTAAAGTGGTAGGTAAGCAATTAAATTCATAGCATCTTAAAACACTAAACAATGGTTTCTTCCTTTATTGCCATACAACTACTTTGAGACCATTTTGTACAGAATTTGACAGATTAGATAAAATTTTTTTTCTTTTTTAAATTTTTATTTATTTATTTTATGTGTGTACCATCAAATTGGATCTGACTGGTACAGGAGGCGATTGTTCCTCCCTCTTCAGCAGAAAATATTAAAGAGCCCTTCAAGAAACATTTCATTGTAATGTTGTAGCATTTTTTTTATTTTTTTTTTTAAATTATTTTTGTGTGAGTGTACCGTCAAATCAGATCTGACTGGTACAGGAGGAGATTGTCCCTCCTTTTCCCGGCAGAGCACCTGGTGGATTCGAACCGTGCGCCTCTGGGATTGTAGTTGCAGCTCCTTACCACTAAGCCACCAGAGCTCCCTGATTAGATAAAATTAAGTTGCTGAGGGTTGGTAATAGTGATTAACAGCTTTAAGATTCTACTATGAGCCTATTTCTTAAGCTTTAAACTCCTAAAAACTGGCTCTGAAATACATATGTATTATTATACTCAATTACTAGTAAATATTACATTTATTCTACATAATAAGTATATATATTACCTTTCTTTTTTTGTGGCAAACTTTTACAAGCAGAACTTCAAGAGTAACAGAATTTTGTTCATTTTCAGAATTTTGTGATGGCTTATCTAAAAAGAAAAATTAATACATTAAAATGTATAAATCCTGTCCTCATTTTCATAAGACTCTGAATTCTAAAGATTACTACAATGAAGCCTTCTCAACGCCATTTTATTGCCCAAATCAGTACCAAACTTTCAGCAAATGCTTTAAAATAAAATGCCTTTATATAAAAAGTCACTTATATAAACCTTTCACAAGACACATATAACAAACATACACCTTCCTATTTACTGCGATTCTCTTTTGACCCAAATACTTTAATCTGTATGTTCAAAGTATTTACTGACTACTTCTGGATGCGATTTAACATTTATGATAAAGTAACACAATGAAAGGTCTAAAATGCACGAACAATAATGCGCTTAAAACAATATTCACCATCAACATATTAACAATTTTTAATATTAATTTCTAAGCAGTTTAAAGAAGTTAATAGTGTATTTTCTCATGATGTACATCAAAAACATGAAGAAAAATTAAAATTTAAGTTGAAATGGAGCAATTTTTTTACTTTTACATACTCTATCATATGGAGAAGTAAAAAAACTTATTCAAATTACTTTCCAAATATGTCAATCTTAATGAAGGATAATTTATGGTTTCTACAAGTTCTGGGAACTAAGAGCTAATAAGCCTACAGAATTCAAATCCTAAACTTTTAAAGCATTACAGTCCATGATCTTGAGAAGAAGACTGCAAAACCAATCAAACATAATGAATGATTAAACATAAGGACTAAAGGGGAGCTCTGGTGGCCTAGTGGCAAGAAGCTGCACTGCAATCCCAGAGGAACACGGTTCGAATCCACCAGATGCTCTGCCGGAGAAGGAGGCGCAATATCCTCCTGTACCAGTCAGATCTGATTTGACGGTACACGCACACAAAATAATAAAAAATTAAAAAAAAAAAACAAAAAACAAAAAAAAAACAAAACATAAGGACTAAGATATTGTTTCCTATTACGCTTATATTTTTATTGCAAAGTAGATATATACACAAATATATGCCTATCTGAGAAGCATTCTAATTTACAATCTTTCACTGTATCCATCAGTTCTTTTAATAAAAAAGATAAAAAAGTATCTTTCTGTAACAGGTAAGACATTGCTATATTTCACTGGTAGGAATTTTAGTACTGATCTGTTTGGTGTGTTTCTTTTTAAATTAATTTAATATAATAAATTATCTACTCATAATCTTTATTATGAGTAATAATAAGATTTCTATTCAGGGGACTCTTCACCTCTCTAGGCTCTAAAGAAACTAAGGTTAAAAAAAAAAGCTCCCCCTTTCCAAGAAAGTTTAATCATTTGGAAACCAAAATTAGAAAAACCCAAGACATTTAATTTTATGGAAACATATGATAGACTTATGACCTCTTGAAAAATGATGGCTCTAAGCTATGTAAGATAGTATCATAGTGCTTTATTTTTCACTCTAATAGATTTTAGGGACCTAGGAAAGTGTGGTTTACAAAGAAGAAACAGAATTTAACCTATTTATGTATGAGCTAGATGAAGTTAACATTTACCTTTGAAGCATGGTCAGACCTATTACTGATGACCATTTTCAATATACTGTAAAGCTCAGAGTTAAGAACATCTAACTTTCATACAGCTCATATCTGCCTGTTAATGTTATGTAAGTCTGTCCTCTATTACAATTAAGTGTGTAATACAGTCTAAGGCATCCTTATTATCTCTTGATCATTCCATTTTTCTGTAACTTAGGGCTCTCTATGTTAATTTTTCCTTCTCTACAATTCATTATTACACATGACTGCCAAAGTTATCTTTTGAAAAGTCAACAAGGTCATCTCACTATCCTGTGTTCAAAACCATTCGCTGTTAGAATGGGAAGATATATATCTATTTCTTTTTTATGGTAAAAATATACAACAAAACACCATCAGTTCTACAATTTCCACCATGTACTAGTCAAGTGACTAATGAATTTTTTATTTGTGAACGTGTGATTTGAGATAAAATTTATAAAGCAAGTATGTTTTCCAGTCATTCAATTTTTTTTCTATTTTAAAAGAACATACCATTTTTGTGGAAGAAACCAGTAAACGTAAGTTGCAGATGCGCTGACAAGCTAAACAAACAAAAGAGAAATTTTATCAGTTAATGTTCTATAATAAAAGAGCCTAGATTTAAAAGTATAATGCTGAGGTAAAATAAAATTACTTCAGCTAATATATGTATGATTTTCTCATTTTTAACTACCATTCACATATGTAACTCCGTATTTTCTAGATTAAATTTGACATTTAAAACAGAATGCCCATACATTTGCAGGGCAAAAAAAAACCCCTTATAAAAGCCCAACAAAAATAAAAACAGAATTGTAGGAGTACAAAAAAAACCCAAGAAACAGACCAAAGAATGAGAGGGCAAAATAATTTACCATGCTTTAGTCTTCCTCCTGATTCCTCAAAAGGAAATTTTTACAAAGGTAGCTGAATCTACACAATAAATTAAAATGTTTTAATAACTTTTGTAATTCAAACTTCCTAACAAGTGATGAAAAATCACTATACTCTTTAAATTAGGAATGAAATATATCATTTAAATTTAAAAATCTGCTATAGATTTGTCATCTAGCTACTCATTTTCTAGTAGTTATGGAAAAGAAAGCATGAACTATAAGCCTCCTATTGATCTAATTATTAAGATGGGATAGAAAAATAAACAACCATCAATAAGTGTTTATAGTACCTTTAAACAGCAAAAGAAAAAGAAATGTGCTCAGGAACCATTCTTAACTTTCTGAGGCATAGTGTCTGCGGTGTAAAGTAAATAAATAGACTATAGCTAGCTATAGAGAATAGGGTTCCTAGAAGGTGCAAACAGGTAACACACTCTACCGTTAACCAAAAAGTTGGGGGTTTAGTGCACTCATAAGACCATCAAAAGAAAGGCTTGGTGATCGACTTTCCAAAAATTACACTGAAGCCTCTACAGAACACAGTTTTACTAAAACACATATGGGAGCACCCTGAGTTGATAACTGGTTGTATAGATAATGGAAGTAGTACTGATCTTATTTTAAAAACTCACTGAATAGTTATAAAGGGTAAGAGTATCAGCAAAAGAAATGTGGTCACTTTTTAAAAAATGACAGCGACAAATTAGGCATTTTAAGACTCAGAGGGAAAGATAATCAATCAGGCAGGAATGTCTAAGAACCAAAAAATGATTGAAAATGAGGGCATATTACAAAGAAGTTATCATTATGACTTTATACAGTCTACCTTTTTTCTAAGAAGAATAAAATGTAAATGTAGATATTTCAACAGACAGTGCAACTCTTCTTAGTAAATGAAGCCATGAAACTGTCTTGAGGAATATAAGTAAATAAAGTAAGACGGGATATTGGTAAAGCACAAAAAGAATGGGAGGCCCAAGGAGGGAGGAATAGACACAACAAACATAAGAACTAAGAAGAATTAACTTAAATACCAAAAGAAAATTAAACACAATAGGATTCCTTAAAACAAGTAATTCATATACATGATTTTATATTCATTACTTTCTGATACAAGTAAAATTAATTTTAAAAGTACACAAGAACAGGAGAGAAGGGAAAGGCTAAAAAAGAGGGCATTAAAATATTTGGGGTTCTTTATCTTCATTATAACGGTGGTCAACCAACTTCTTGACTCCGTGAAAACTCAAGACTAACAACTCTAGGATGGGTAGATCTGATTATGTAAATCATCTAAATTTTTTTTAATATTTAAAATACCCATTTTATTTGAAATATTGTGGTTTTTGTATTTGTATTTTTAAAATACATTAGTTTTTTGTATATTTTTTCTTCTTAAGCTTATTTTTAAAAATAATTTTAATGAGCATTTACAGAGATTTTGGATTTCCATTCATTCATTGCTGCACTTCTCTCCCCGCCCAGCCCTTCCCCCACCCCCGAAATCATCTAATTTTTAAAAAGTGTATCAGCAGGGCTGACTGCAAAGGGGCACAAAAGAAATTTCTAGGTAAAATATTTTATAGCTCAATTATAGTGATGGTGAAAAGTGTGCATTTACCAAAACTCAAATACTATTTAAGACGGGTACTATTTATACTTAGTTGATTCTTTTGAGTAAAATTTTTAGTTTTAATTGCATTTTAACAAAAGTTTACAGAAAAGTTAAATTTTCATTCATTCATTGTTGTACATTTTGCCACCTCTCTCTCCCTTCCCCTAGCTAACATTTAAAAAAAAATTCATTCACTGATGCACAATTACCTCTCTCCCCAGTACTTAATTTTTTAAAAAATACCTCAGTCATCTGAAAATTGACATGCAGTTTTTATGAAAAAACTTCCTGGAATTTTCCTATAAAAAGTAGTCCGTATTTTAACATTTACAAACCAAAAAAGCCAGCTACACTCCACAAGATAAGAAAAGGACACAGGAATATTTAAAAATTTACACAATAGGGAAAAAGATAACAGTTATCACAAATCAAATAATATTGTTATTGCCTGTTGAGTCAAAACTAACTCCTGACTGACTCTCCAGTGAGTTTTTAGAAGCAATACTATTACTACAGTTGCTCCAACTATACCTAGAGAGTATGTAGATTTTTTTTTAATTTTTATTTTATTATTTTGTGTGTGTGTGTACCATCAAATCAGATCTGACTGGTATAGGAGACAGATTTTCTTAAAAGAAAACTTTCTATTCTCAACGGAGTTTCTACTACCAAATGTTTGTCAATTTAGCTACAGTATTTTTATCCCACTAAATGTTCTATTTTTTTCGCCTGCTTTCTGTCCTCTCTAAGTGTCCTGTGACCAGTTCCGTGCAGCCTTGGGGGTCTTCTGCTGTTACCTGTACAGGAGGCGGAGATTTTCAGCTCTGCTGGGCTTGTCTTGCTCAGCATTTCTTAAGTTCAAGGAACTAAAGAAATTCAAACCTCGAGTTGCTATAATCAAAGATGCTTTAGGCAGAATATTAAATGATCCAGGAAGTGTTAAAAGAAGATGGAAAGAATATACTGGGTCATATTGAAAGGAATTGGCAAGGGGAGCTCTGGTGGCCTAGTGGCAAGGACCTGCAACTACAATCCCAGAGGTGCACGGTTCGAATCCACCAGATGCTCTGGCGGGGAAGGAGGGACAATTTCCTCCTGTACTAGTCAGATCTGATTTGACGGTATACTCACACAAAAGTAATAAAAATTTAAAAAAAAAAAAAAAAGGAATTGGCAGATACAGAAGAATTTAATGAAACAACATTTGAGCAAGAGCCTATGGTGATGAAGGAAGAAGTTCAAGCTGTTTTGAAGGAAATAGCAAAAAATAAGGCCCCAGGAATAGATGGTATACAAATTGACATATATCAGCAAACAGATGCTGCCCTGTGCTCACTAAGTTGTGTCAAGAAATCTAGAGATCTGTATTTATTTGTTCCCATTCCAAAGAAATGTGACCCAACACAGTGTGGAAACTACAGAACAATGTTATTGATTTTACATGCAAGCAAGATTCTGCTGAAGATTATCCAAAAACAACTGGAACAGCACATCAGAAGAGAACTGCCAGAAGTGCAGGCTGGGCTTAGAAGGGGTCATGGTACTAGGGATACTGTAGCTAATGTTAGATGGATCTTGGCTGAAAGCAGAGAGTACCAGAGGAATGTCTATCTGTGCTTCAATGATTATGCAAAGGTGTTAGACTGTGTGTACCATAACAAACTGTGGCTGACTCTGAGAAGAATGGGAATCCCAGAACACGTGATCGTGCTAATGTGAAACTTACACTTGACCCTAGAGGCAGTTGTCAGAACAAAGCAAGAAAACACTGCATGGTTCAAAATTGGGAAGGGCGTATGCCAGGGATGTGTCCTGTCTCCATACCTTTTCAACCTGTATGCAGAACAGATTATCTGGGAAGCTGGGCTCTATGAGGAGAAAGGTGGGGTCAAGATTGGTGGAAGATCTATCAATCAACAATCTGCGTTATGCAGATGACACAACCCTGCTTGCTGAAACTGAGGAGGACCTGAGCGCTTGCTACAGAGGGTCAAGGACTGCAGCCTTCAATATGGATTGAGGCTCAATATCAAGACGACAAAGATTCTCACCACTGGACCAATTGGCAGCATCAGGATGGATGGTGAAGAGATTGAGATTGTTCACAGCTTTAGTCTGCTTGGCTCCACAATCAACACTCTTGGCACCAGCAGCCAGGAAATTAAAAAGACGTCTGCTGTTAGGGACCTCTCTAAAGTACTGAAAAGCAACGGTGTCTCTCTGGAGACTAAGGTGCGTCTGATACAGGCCCTGGTCTTTGCAATCACCAGTTATGCGTCAAAGAGTTGGACAATGACTAGGGAGGATAGAAGAATTGATGCCTTTGAGCTTTGGTGTTGGAGAAGAGTATTGAGGGTACCACAGACTGCTAAGAAAACAAACAGATTCATCCTTGAGAGGGTTAAACCGGGCTTCTCCTTGGAGGCAAGGATTCTGAGGCTTCGTCTGAGGTACTTTGGTCATGTTTAAGGAGAGACCGGTCCTTGGAGAAGGACATCATGCTTGGGAGGGTGGAGGGCAGGAGGGGAAGGCCTTCTAGGAGGTGGACTGATTTGGTGATTGGGTTAATTGGGATGAGTGTGGCGGAGACAGTGAGACTGACATAGGAACAGAGCAGAGTTTAGGGTTGCTATGAGTTGCAAGTGACTCAATGGCACATAACAACAACATATCAAAGTTGGAAAAAAACCCCCACCTGGTTCTACAGAAGCTCTTGGCTAGGATCAGTGAGCAGTAGGGTGGAATGTTGATTTGCTAAGGGAAGAGAGACAATGTGATAAGGCCTCCTATTAAAAAACCTTTTTTGGTAGGCATTATGGTGCTGGAGACCAGTTTGAAAGTCATCTATAGGAGCTGGTTTTACAGAAGGTGCTGGATGGGATTGGTAAGCAGTAGGGTGGAATGCTGATTCGCTAAGGGAAGTGAGGTCATGTGGTAAGAGTCCCCTACTTAAAAATCCATTAGGTGGCAAACATTCTTCTAAGTGGTATAGCACCGGTCTGTGCATTGCTGTACAGAGGTAACTCATAGTTGCTGTGATTGTAAATACAAT